AGAGAAAACAAACACTCACCTTCTCAGCTTTTTGTTTTGCTAGCTTCTAAGTTTACAATCACGTACAAAGAGTCTAAAGTGTTCAAAAGTGGCTCGTGGCCAAACCCTAGACTATTTATACTCACTACTCGAAACCCTAACCCTAGGATCTTCGAGGATCTCACAGAAACGGAATATACTTGCTTGTCAAGCTTATCCTTTCCTTATTTGATGTGAAGAATATTCACCATATCTTCACACGCAATTCGTCTCTATCTTTGCTGCCAAGCAAGAAATCTTCCTTAGCACGTCACTTCATCCACTTAAGCTTTGCCACGTCATCTCACGACTCCATGTCAGCAACTTCAAGTGTCTGATGTGATCCCAGGCGTCTGATGTGGTCTCAGGCGTCTGAACGGATGCAGCTTCCTGATCTCCATAGCAAGCTGTTCTGGAACTGCATCTTCAGAAAATAAACTACAAACGAACGAACCTCAGCCGCGAGATCCCCTGAGCATCTTCAAGCTGAATCGAAGCCAACGACTCCGGAAAAAACTCGAACATGTGGAGACCTAGAGGTAACGAGAATGCATAGTTCGCTAATCTATCGGCAAGACGATTAGTTTCCCTATACACATGTGGAATACGGACTAACCAATCCTTCGAAAGAAAGGCATAGCACATACGTACTAGGAAAGAAAAAGGATGAATTCCAATAATCCCAGTCTTCAAAAAACCAACCACCATTTCAAAGTCAACCTCCAACTCCAACCGTGTAATCTCCCTTGCCCGAGCAATATATAATCCATAGTAAACTCCCCATAGCTCAGCCAACGGTGCTGAACAAATTTCAATATGCAAAGAAAATCCACAACACCACTCCCCATGATGATCCCTAAGAACCCCTCCAACACTTGCTAATCCAGGATTACCCCGAGATGCTCGGTCGGTATTTAGTTTCACCCACTCTTCCCCCGGGTAGACCCACTTAATCAACTGCTCCTCCATCGTGATCCTATTCTGCTTTGAAACTATACTTGTAATTAGTCGTTACATATTTTTCCTTAAAAAATTTTGTCGTTTCAAAATATGTATTTTTAGGATTTAAACCAAACCGTTGATTATCTAAATTTAATTTGACATTTTTTGGTGGACCAAACTAACAAACTTACAACATTTTGATAGAACAATTATCAACAAATATAATACCTTTAAAATTAAACTAAAGTCGAACGATCGATTTTTATTTTGATTTGAACTGTTTCGTTTTTATCTTTTTTGGTCAAGACTTTTGAACCGTTTCTAACAAAACATAATTTATACTTATCTTCTAAAATATACTAGGTTTTAATCCGCGGTACACCGTGGGACGATTGTTTTGACTAAAAAAATTATATTTAAGTTATATTTTGTAAATTTTATTTATTTTTTAGTGTTTAAGATTGTGTAACTGTATTTTTTATTGTTATTTTTATTACTTAACTCGCGGAAATTTTTTTTGTACCTCGCGGGACTAAAAAAATTATATTTAAGTTATATTTGTTATTTTTTTTTGTTTTGTTAACCCGTAAGAAAAACATAAAACTCAAACCCGTTCAATCATATTTATGTAAAATATAGACCTTAAATGTTTTGTAAATTTCGAGAGAGATTTTGATTTTTGTTTTCCAAAAACTCATTTTTAACAAATCAAGATTTTAAAATTTTGGATTGTCTAAAATTTAGTAAAACTGTTTTTTGTTGTAATCTTCCAGTCAAGATTTTGAATTTTTAAGTATTAGTCATATTTATAATGGTTCCGAACCATTGTCTAAAATTTTCTACCCGATGTGGGACGTTGTACATACATGTTTTTTTTATTGATTGAGTAATATACGTCCGTCTTCAAAAATTAAAATTGCTACATATGCAAAAAAATTGCATTTTTATTATACTTATGTTTTATGTAATAATGTAAATTTTAAAACAAATAAGATCATATAAAGATGTTGGAGAGATATTCGATTTGTTAGGGAGACATTTTGGAAAATTTTGTTAAATGTAATAAATATTATTTTCTAATTTTATGATTCTGGTGTAATTTAATTACAAATTTTATCTTAAAAATTTGTTATTTATTTAAATGGCAATAATTTATTATATAAATAATACAAAATAAAAAATTATTTTCCAAAAAGTATTTAAAAAATGTTAATATAGATGTACACACTGCTGTTTGTCAAAATATTTATAAGTTGTAATAAGAGGAACAACGTAAGTTAGCATGAGTGCGTTTTCGTCGTTAGTGTAAATGACTAAAAAAGTATAACAGAGGACACCGACACAAGCACATTTAGTAGTGAAATCATTTCGATTAATTCTCAAACACAATTCTTCTTAAATGGATTGTTACTTTTATATTTATGTCTTAAATGGATTTCAGTCTATCGTTATCATCGATCACTAAATTGTGAATGTATCTAACTTTGCCGAAGCCTTCATCGGGGAAGTGGCTCGGTCCCATCTATGTTGATGTGTGATAACCAAAAATTTGTGAATTCACAAATTATATATATATATATATATACATTATTTATATATATAATATATTATTATATATATATATAAAGAATAGACAATGAAGAAAATTTCTTTGCAAGATTAACGTTTGAGAAACAAATTTAATCAGAGATGATTGTTGGAAGACATGATCACTACCGAACTGTGGGTTTCATATCTCTTAGGTTTTTCTCATTCATTTTATTTGATTATTTAATGAATATATTTCTATAAATTTACTTATGTTTTGCTTATATTTTATTCATGTTTTACTTATGTCTTGAAAGTTAAGCTTATATGAATGAATTTTTGATTAATTGATGAGAGCTTTTGTGGTTTTATTAAATAATCATCATAAAAATTAGAGTAAAGAATCCATGTTTTTATGATGATCTTTTAATTTAACAAAACTACAAAAGCTCTCATCAGTAAATCAAAACATAGAAGTAAAACTTAATATTGGTTACTAATTTTACTTTTATGTCTTGAACGAATTTAAATATGTTGTTGTCGACAATCTCCAAGTTACGAATGTAGCTAACTTTACCGAAGTTTTCATCAGAGGGTGACACGATCCCATTTGTGTTGCAGTATGTTGACCGGAAATCTGTGAATTCACGATCTCACCACCCCCACTGCACATCGTCTGCATATGTTAATTTAAAAAAAAAAAAATACATATCTAATATTCAATCAAAACTCAATTACCATTTACCAAACTTTTGATCCTACATAATTTATTTAACTATTTATTTGGAAATGTGAAATTTACTACGTAAAAAAATATGTTTGAGAAAATATAAATTTAAAAATAAATATAATGTATACAATTTTTCCAACAATATACCATATGTTAAAATCTAGTATATATGTATGAGATTGTTAAAACTAAAAATATATTTTAAATCAATCAATAAAAATATACTTTGTCTACCAGGCAGAAATTGACGACTTAGGTTTGTGAGTTATATGGAGTTTTAATGACTTTATATGTTAGGTAGAATCTCAGAACTAATAGACACGCTAGATCTCCTCTTACAGTCGTTGAGTCGATTCTTATGCCTCCCTCCGGTAGGGATCAGTCTCACCCCTTTAGTACCTTGGATTCTCTGGAACCTGTGGACAACCAGAAACCTTTTCATCTTTGAAGACCGCCTTTTCTCTCCTAAAGAGGTGATCTCTAAAGCTGTGGGGGATGCTCGCCAATGGCAGGAGGCTCAACTCTTTCAGCCTTCTCCTCTCCCTCGCAGTCACTCCCAGCCCCCAACTATTGCTCGCTCCCTGGACTCTCCTGCAGACTCTCACCTCTGCTTTGTCGACGCGGCCTGGAACCCCAATGCAAAATCTGGTGGCCTATGCTGGATTCTTAAGGATCCCTTTGGACAGACTCTTTTGCAGTCTTCCTCCTTTAGGACCTTTGTGTCTTCTGCCTTAGCGGCAGAGGCTTTGGCAGTTCGTAGTGCTCTGTTTCACATTGCCTCAACTGCTCATTTCTCTTCAATTTGATCTTTGAAGATCTTTTCGGACTCGCAGGTCCTCATCAGGCTGATTAACTCAGGGAACAATCTCAAGGAACTCAAAGGAATCTTCTCTGACATCTCTTGTCTTCGAGCTTCCTTTTCCTTTATCTCGTTTAGCTTTCTCCCTCGTTTAGACAATGTAGCTGCAGATGCTATCGCTAAGTATGCTCTCTCTGTTTCTTTACTTGTGAACTCCAACTCCCACTTTGGCGAGTAACTGCTCTCTTTTCTAATATATAAGCGTTTCACAAAAAAAATGTTAGGTAGAATCTGTTGTTATTCAATCAAGATTTTACTAAACTCTTTTAAAGTTTGGTGTTATTAGTTATTGATTTGTAAAAAGTCACTCAAAATCTTCATAAATATGGGGTTATTGGATTTAGAGTTTTACAAAATCATTAAAAGTTCTGTGTTATTCAATTAAAACAAAAGAATCTTTGATTGTTAATGAATTAAAATATTATGTTATTAGTTTATTATTTTAAACTCTCCTTTACAAAAATAAAGTCATGAAAAGTAACTTATAAATACATAGATTGTTTGAGAGATCCCTATATTAGTAAAAGAGAAGTACAAAATAGAATACGGATCGGGTCAAAATAAAAAAATTAATCCGATTTTAA